ATTTTAACAACTCTGAGCTATTAGTTAAGTTCTCCCCAAACGAACTTGATGGGCCGAATGGCCTCCTCTCGTTTGTAAATTTCTTATGTTCTTATGTTCTATCAGAAACGCCACGGACAATCATGAACCTGCAGCACAGAGAACGTTCACTTAAAACCCAGATTGTTTGCTGTTTTTTTGAGTAGGAAAGACCATCCCTTAGGGGTCCACCTGTACGTCAGCGGGTCTGGTTCAAATACTCCGTCACTCACCCTGATCAATCCAGCTGGCCACCATTAAACAGCTGCTCCTGTGCCGGGCTGCTAGATTAATTGCCCTGTCAATAACAAAGCAGCATATGGTTCGCATGCAGCCTCTGCAGGTCACGCCGTCTCCACGTGGAGAGATGGGGCCCGTCACATGTGTGTGGGTGTGCCCAGAGACAGGTAAACAGATTCCATCTCCATGTTTACATACATGTGTGCGTTTCCCCGTGGCGGCATGCCGTGTGTGTGCGCGCGGCTGAAGGAAACGCACAGAGCCGTCCACCCCAGGTCTGCCGAGCGGCTGACCATCACTCAGTGCCACCATGTCGCCAGGAGACTCTGGCCGCGACTCACAATCTCCCGCTTGGCCGGACCGCTTCAAACATTGATTAAATCTGAACGACAGGAGTGGGCGGCGTGTTCCTCAGCAGAACGCAGCCCATGGTGGGTCAGGCTGGGGGGGTGGGAGTGCATGAATAATGAATGGGACACCATATGTCGGGAAGCTAATGGAAGCCGTTGATGAAGCAGACACTCAGTATAATGGAAAAAAGAGCCAGCGGAGCCCCTTTAATCGGCGAGGCAAGGCGACATCCCATAATGCAACGCTGCGCTGGCGACTGTCGCACGCCGTTAGAACTCTGACTCAAAGAGTGTGCGACCGAGCTGTGATAACGTAACGTGAGATGCGCTCGCGGGCGGGCAGGCAGGATGGGGCGTGTTTACATCCTGCAGATACCATCACTGGGTCTGGATTAAACCGGAGTGTCATGTCACATCAGAAACATGTAAGCACAATACCTGATTACAGCACCATTCACTATGAATACACATGGCACTATTCGATATGTAGCGACGCAATGCCGGGGAATAAAGCACAACATCAGTGTAAGAGAAGGGCACGAATGACATGGCGTGGTTTTGAGAAGAGCGGCTCTGTTGATGTACCCTGAGTATAAGGCGTGTCCCCAGCAGCTCTGACACTATTTTAGCGCAGCGTGTGTAACAGGCCCTGCATTTCGCCAGGGGCAGGGCTGCATAATCACTTGTGGGGGGTGTGCTGTCCCATCTGAGTGATGCATTGCACTACGTCCATTTCCGACACCCCCGGCGTGTTATTTCACACATGTCCATTGCTGTTTAAATTGAGCCCACCCAAACGAAACGGACTGAGCCCGGAGGGTGATCTTACGCAGTCGTTTTTATTTTTGTTTGTCTGATTGCATTACAGTCATGTAGCTAAATGCTGGCTGGCCCTCGTTGTTGGATTTCGGGAGGTTTCCAAAACCCCAGCCCCCCTTACCAGGGAGCATTTTTTAAAAAGGCCTACGGTAGGTCTATACACATTCACGCCCCTAACTCTCCCACAAATGTCCCACAGTAACAGTCAGCGGAGATGTGTAGCGGGATGCGTGCTTCCCTCAGGCCCCAGCACTCCGGTCCCTGTTCTTCGTTACCGGTTGTGAAATTGCGCACTCTTCTTTTTTTTTTTTTTTGCAAAACAAAATTTTCCACTGGCGTAGCAGATTAGCAGAGAACTTCCTCATCAGATGGGTTCTAAAGGAAAACAAATGCGCAGTAAAGTCCGGCCCTGTGGAAGCGGCCCCTCTTCCGAAAGATTGCCCCGTCGGTGACGACGGTGCCGGAGAAAAAGGAGGGAAAGCGCAGGCGAGACGGGAACTGGGGAGGGTGGTGCGTTTGCTGTCCCGGCAGACTGTTTAGGCCAAGAGGAGCTTAATGAAAGATACTCATTATAGCAAACCTCTCATCGCGCTGACATAATTACAGTAATCACCTCTTCCTGAAATACTAGATGGAGGCAGCGTGGTTGTGTCTGGTGTGAGACACCCCAATTAAATCTACAATAAAAATTTATGCCCTGCTGACACAGGCCAAAAGACACATGCTTTACTTTCCATAAGGAAAAAAAAATATGTGGACCTCGAACGGTGGTGGGGGGGGGGGGAAGTGGAGAGAGGCAGAGAAGGCCAGAGTCAGGCACTGGCTCACAGCCGTCGGGGCTGTGTTTGTTTGTGATCTAAGATATTCCAGGAATTTACCGCAGGAGCCAGCCCGGGTTCGAACAGAGAAGGTGAGCAGCCAGTGCATGAAAGCGGCACTTGTGTGGCAGCAGAGGGAGTTAACTTACTCACTGGGGGCCAAGTTTCCACTCAGTAATAGTTCCAAACTGTGCTGGTGTTACAGTGCTGACCTCAGGGGGGGAGCGGAGGGGGGGGGTCTGCCCTGAAAACCTGAATCCTGACTGGCCACTACTTTCCTTCAGAAATATATAGGTGCTGGCTTACTTTGTTGTTTTAGTTTTTTGCCCTCCTATTTAGGACAGTAGTTCTTTACTGGGAATGACCCATTTTGGTAGCGTAAGTGGTACCAGGAGGCTGGATGGGGGACGTTTGGGGAGGTGGAGGTTCGGCGGCCTTGGCGGTGGTGCTTTTCATGGCCAGGGCTTCTCACACCCTGTTGTTAACGAGGCTAAAGGCTAACGAAGAGGGCCGGGCAGCTACAGGGAACGCTGTCTTGTACATGTTCGTTACGATGGCTGGCAGGCTGAAGGCGGAAATGTGAAGTCCATCCTGCCCCCCCCCCCTCTCCAGAGGGTCAGGGGCACAGAGGAAGAGAGTAATACGCCTGCCCTTTCCTTCCGGGTGGGGGGAGTCAGAGAGACTCAAGCCATGAACCAGGCCTCTTCTTCCGGAGTGAGACACCCTCACACACACACACACACACACACACACACACACGCACGCACACACACACACACACACACACACACACACACACACACACTAACAGGGTTGCCAACTCTTATACAGAACATCTGGCGTAACACTTTCAGACTCTCACACTGACACAAGAACTCTTACAGAAAATCTGTATTATTCCCTTATAAACCTTAAATTAACTTCAGTATTCAGTATCAAAAGTGTTGGGGTAGTTTGCAAACACTACACACTATTTTCAAGGAATTTAAACTGTTACATGCATCTTACATGTTACATACAGCTAACCCAAGCTGGAAAGCTTTTCCTAAGAGCTCACTTTATCGTCAGTATGTAATAACATACCAGAAATTTTGTAGTCCGGTGTCAAACATGAAGTACAGGATCAAAGTAGAAGGCATACAGGGAAACACTTCACAAAACATATATGTATAAACTAAAAATACAACAGAATCAGAAGACAACAAGATTAACGAAACCCACAAGACTAACAAAGGGTGCAAAATGGCTTAAGATTACAACATCAGAAAAAAACACAGTTGTTCACACACACACAGAAGCAGTGAATTCAAAGACAGTTACACACATACAGTAGATGCAGAGATGATGAAGCAGGCCGACTGTAATGGATGCTGTTATATTGATAACTCACTCACCCACTGACACTGCTCAGCTATCGTTATTTTGCGTGTGATTTACCCATGTTAGCACTCTGAATCTGTCGATGTTGCGCTCGACGTCCCCTGGGGGTTAACACGATAAATATCTCCTTAGACTACTGCAACTGAATGCTGCTGGTGGGAAAGGCACACTTCCTGATCCAAATCAACAATTCAGAGGTTTTATGTTGTCAAGAAATGTCACAGAAGCTACAGCCTGATACCTCAGCCTTAAGGGCCTGCTGTCCAAGTAAAGGCTGGAGACAGCGTCCACGCATCGATGAGGAGGGCAAGCCAGCTTCGGGGCAGTGACAGCACGAGCATGGAGGCAGAATTACGACCAGAGAGGCAGGACAAGGGCCAAACGTCAAAACGAAGCTGATAGCGATTGTCTGATGAGCACCAGAGCGTTAACACGGACGGCAGAACTCTGAGCAGAGGCTGCGTGGGTCCAGGCCAGGCGGCTTCTCCAGAAGCCTTTCCAGCATGGCTGACCGCATCCACTAGCCAGGAGGACAGTCCACAAAACAAATAAAATTCAATATGGCAAAGTCTGACACCTGGGGAAGAGGAGACTGACCTAACATATGGATGATTTCAAACACACCATCTTCTTCCTCCTAATCGCTGCGGTACCCCAGTGTGGCGTGTCACAGTTGAGTGGACTTCTTTCTGTAAGCCTGTTTCCTCAAGATAAAAACACAGTTCTTTATATGCCAATAACTACAATAACTAGAGACATCATTTTTACAAGGGATACCTGCATCTCTCTCTGTGGGAAATATTCTTCCAAAAGCAAACTGAGCTAGTCTCCCATCCTCTATTTTAGGGCCACAGTCTGGTAAAACAGCGCATTATAATTCCTGAGATCAGGGGATTTCTGAGACTTGCTCTTGGCGGGATGCTGATTGGAGTCACAGGACATGGGGGCGGCAAGGAGGCACTTATCCGGGTGCGGGAGAGGAGATGCTGCTGACGAGATGGTGGGAAGGACTGACAATAAAACATTTTGGAGTCAACATTAGGGAAACACAGAGGAGAACGAAGTGGTGCTCTACAGGAGGTACAGGACCGGGCATCATGGTCTTAAACCCAGTGTCATAGCGGTGAGGTGCTGGTGACCTGCTGGTCATGTGACCCCAGACATCCATGCCCCCAATACACTGTCTCAGCCTAACACTTATGGCACCTCCTTCCACACTCAGGCCTCGGTAAATGTTATATGAATCTTTTTTTCCGATGACCTGCCTGTTCGTACATCGCAGTAAATCGTTAAACGACAGCTATTCAAAGATTAACCCAAAGCAGACACAACTACACACTTTATAACTTTATAAATGTATTTTACAGCTGCCATAACCTCCGGCGCCCGGGACGTGGTGCGGCTCCGACTGCTCAAGGCACGGGGCTTCAGACTCCGCCCACCTGTGACCCCGGTGCACTGAAGCTGTGCTGTTTATGAGACATTTGCCATGGAAACAAACCTGTGTGCCTGCAAACGGTGCAGCCGTCATTGCTGGCCAAGACAGGCTTGGTGAAAAAGACATGCTTAGAGGTTACATGATGATAAAATCGTGTGCAAATGATTTCTGATTTCAGGTGACTCCTTGGCTGAATTTGGCACGATTGCATGTACTATGGTCAGGGGCCAGAACAAAAAATTGAAAGACATTTTTACATGATAGGATAGATGCAAGGGCGGCAGGGGGATGTAGTAATAAATAATTTGAAAGCATAGTACTATTATGGCTTTTTCACACTTCGGAGGTGTTGAGCAGCCTGTGACTGATGTCCTGTCGTCACTTGTAGTTTTAGCCAGTCATAAGATAGCGGATGACGTGTTACACCGGTAAATGCTGACATAAGGGATGCTCCTGTATGAAAAGCATGCAGAAGGAGCTTCTAGGACAGCCTGAAGTGTCCCTGTCTCTTTCCAGGGAGCTGCACCCCTGCCCTGCACGCGTGGCACAAACGCGCAGCAGCGTCACTGCACCGTGGAAGCTGCTCGCAGCAGTAATGTCATCTCTGCTCAGCACCCGAGTCGCGGTGTGGATCGCTTTGCCGGTGACAGGCCGGGAACCCAATCGACAGAAGCTGGCCCAGTGAAAGGAGGCCCGTCCTCATCTGCTTTCCTCCATTTCATCCGGATGGTTCCACTTTCCCTGGCACTCTTCCCCTGCTCCAGGACCCCTGCCAAGCCCTGCCCGCTCGGTGACCAACACCCCTCAACGCGCTGCCTCGTACCCCCGAGAGACGGGCAGGAAAGCGAGATTCCACAAAGACTCGCCTATGGTGAGATCCAGGTGCATTGTGGGAGAAGCATGGGAAGGATACGCCTGACTCAGACGAGGCCCCATGCTGATTTGACAAGGCAGGGACACCAAGGATGTGACGTGTTTATAAGAGAACAAGGAACAGCTGGCTTGTGTTCTGCTGCCGTGTGTTTGTGTCTATGATCAGCCTTAACTAGGCAAGATGGGAAGATCACGACCTTTGCTCTCTGTCTAAATATGTATGGATTTCCATAGTTTTCTTAAAAGCTTTTGATACCTTTTATCTTTTGGTCCATATCATATATGGACAAATAACACGCAGAGAACACAGTTTATCATCTTTTAGAGAAATTACAGGTTTTTTTGAAAATTCTCACTGACTTAACCAGTGCCTGCCAGGCAGATCGGCACATGACCACTGTTTGTTTGACCTTGAAGTCCAGTCTGACTCAGAGCCAACAACAATACTCAAAGTCCAGCATCTCCCAGCATCTGAGGCGTCACCATCCTTTGTGTCACATCACCCATTATGCGGCTCTGAGGTACAGTAACACTCTGGCAGGGCTACAGCTCACGTTAGTATAGCAGCAGGGGCTATTCGGAAGTGACATAAGTATGGAACAATCCTGTTTATACAAAGTACACTGGGCAGGGCGTCCCTGGACAGCGGCCTGCTCTACAGGGCTTGCAGGATGGCCGGTGGGCAGTGGCTGCTGTCTCGCTGAGAGACACTAGGATCCTGGCTCTATGCTCTGAGCTGTGGCCTGTCAGTGTGTCGTTTGCAAAATCACCTGAAATTACGACTCAGCCGAGAAAACAAAACAACGACTTGTCTGGCGGGCACCAATTTTCCCTGGCCCTCCCCCACCCTGACCGGCCTCTGTCATCAAGCCTGATCAGGCTGGCGGCGGCTCGATGAAGTGGCCCCCACGGCGGCCTGCTCCCGGGGGCTGCAGGACAGCATGGGCCGCGGAGGGCAGCTCAGACTCCAGCAGGCCTGCATCCCCCCCCCCCCCCCCATCGGGCCATACATAACACATGAGAGCACGATTAATTGATGAGGGGAGAAACCTGAGGCTGCAACAGGACACGCGTGTCGGCCGACACTCCTGGCTCTCCTTCCTGAGAGCCACAGCCCGGGGCAGACTGGCGCGGGGCAGGCTGGGCTCGGCAAGCCTGGGGGGCCAGGGTCTCCGCCACAGCCACACAGAGCACCCCTGATGCGGGCACCTCCTGAGACACCCCTCAGAGGAATAGTGACCAAGGGTCTGCAGCCCACACCAACTAGGCGGGACCCTCCTCCATGTAAAGGAGAGGGTACTTAGTTATATTTAGGCATGGGTTAAAATTGCTTACCGAAGTCTTTCCATGACATTTTATGTTCTTACTAAAAGAACCAATGTTGAGTTTATCTCCTACGGTACATTTCGAACTAAATATAATTTTGCTGTTACTGATATGGCTTTTACTTGGTATAAAAATACCACAATCTTAAAAAGCGGATTTGCCCGGCCTGCGGGGCGCTTACCAGCTGACCGGCTAAACCAAAGGGGCACCTTAAAGCACTTCTTAGCACATGAGGAGCTAAATAATTCATACGTTTGCTGCCAACATTAATATTTATTAGAGTGTAATGTCACCGTACATTCATGCATCAAGTCCTGCCTGCCCGGAAAGTCCCCCTCCCCGCCAAAAAACGCTCTTCTGGATAAGGAGTCTGACGTCAGCTGTTGTATCCTTGAGAAGGGAACTGACTCACTTCGAAGTGTACACTTGTTGGCTGAGATGAAACTGTTACAGAAATTAATTAATAATGCAGCATTTGCCAGTCTGAGATATAACACAGTCAGTCTGTGCCACAACCCTCAGGTAACGTCTCTGTGTTTGTTACTACTGATGTGTGGATGATGTTGGTAATGTTTTCAGCATATCTGTTACTCCTAGCGCCGCTAACTTTGCTAATGTGCCGGCCCAGCAGACGGTGTCAATGCTGCACGCGCTGCTAGCATTGCTAATGTTGCTAGTGGCTGCTAACGCCAGCTGACAATGTTAAAGCTGCACGTGCCGCTAGCATTGCTAATGTTGCTAGTGGCTGCTAACGCCAGCTGACAATGTTAAAGCTGCACGCGCCGCTAGCAGTGCTAATGTTGCTAGCCCAGATGACAATACTAATGTAGCACACACTGCTAGTGCTGCTAAAGTTCTTCAGCTCAGCTTACATTTTTAACGCTCAAGTCCAAAAAATAATATGTTGCTCTGCAGCAAACCCCTTCAAAAGGTGTGGAATCCATCATAACACTGTCATTAACCCCTTGGAAGGTGGCCTTCCGTGCCCTTTACATGGCCCTTCATGCCACGCTGATCCTGCACATATGGGCGGGGCCTGGCCATCAGGGGCAAGAGGTGAGTCGAGGGTGGATGGGACAAGAGCCAAAGGTGGAGGGATAGAGAGAGGGAGACAATGGGGGGGGGGGGATGACAGGCGGACAGATAAAGCCTGCAATCTCCTCTGTGGGGCGTGGGGGGGGGGGTAGCTGCTTTTGTTTAGTCGCTCATTATTTTGTTACTGTTCTGACAGAGGTGTGACGCTGGGTGCAACTCTCCTGAGCATAACAGACAAATAAGAGCAGGTTTTCATGGTGGTAAGAGAGAAGGAGGCAGCCGTGAAGGCGCTGGAGCAGCCAAACAGGGACTCAGTGTGTTTAAGTGCTTATTTGGAATGACTCACCGGGACAAAATGGATGACCAAAAAAAGAGATGTTCGTTTGTGTATGTCTGAGGACAGCCAGTCACATGGTGCCGTAGGCTGTGCTCATACCATCTCAGGGGACCGGCATGCGAGCCTCAAACCCAGCGAGTCTTGGCTGTGATGCTAGGAGGACAGCATTATTCCAGCTGGAGGCGCTGCTTTAGGGTGACGAGTGCCCAGGAACCCAGCCCGGTCACCTGACCCACAATTCCCTGGGCCACTTTCCACGGTTGGCCATCATGACACAGTGAGACCCAAACCCAGTGGGCCGCCAGCGGACACACACCTCATTCTGGCCGGCTTAGTGCGGGGAGGACCCCACCGCATTCACTTGCCAATTGCTCACTCCATTCCTGTAATGTCACAGGTCCTCTCTTTCCCCTCTCCCCTCTTTGACAAATAAAAGCTCTTTTCCTGGATTGATTTAAGTTAACGATTGATCTGGGAGCTTGAAGAAGACGTGTCTGAGTCTATTTGAAAGTTAACATTGCTGATCATAAACCATAGGCTGACCTTAAACGTGTTCTCACTCCTCGCCATGACCTGTGTCATCTCCCAGCAGAAACCTCTGCTAGAATCTGGGCCCCTACACTGAACTTTGGCTCGCAAGGAGCGATGATGAACATGTGCACCTGGATTACAAAATGTGACTGGTTGAGGCCAGTCATGTGACTTGTGTGGTGTGAGGGGTGGAGGGGTTCCCCCTTAACTCACAGTGGTGATGGGGGTTGCTCCCAGGCATTTTCCTGTCACATTCAGGAAGGCAAAGGTGCTTTGGGGTCAGCTCGAGGTCAGCATTGGATCGGGGGATGTGGGCGGTGGCTGGATGTGGGGGTGAGAGCACCCCCACCTCCCTGGCGAAGATTGTCAGGGCTGCTTGGCTCCAAGGCTTGGCGTGATCAATATGATTTACCACGACAGGGGCAAGGTTCCCGCGATTGGTTCCTTGACCTGCTGACAGTGACGGATGAGTTGTCGGAAGCCCCTTTGCTGCTGTGTCACCCTGGGGCTTAAATTGCTTTCAGTTACAGTCGAAAATGGTCTTATGGTAGGATGGTGGAGTAGCGGGGAACTGAAGTGGGGGGGCGGGGCCTGCAGTAATCTCCGAAATGCCATTCTGCTGTGACATCACTCGTCCCTGTCTATTAGAGTGCAGTGGGAAAAAGATTAAAACATGAACCGTTACAGTTGAGCCGTAAATCCTGACACAAAATAAACAGTCCAGCTTGTTTCGGAGCAATCAGCACAATATCATAATGCTGAGAAAATAGCACGACAATCAGCGCGTCCTGTATGAATCACCAAGCAATGTTTTATTCCGAGGAATTACCATGGAAATGTACTGACCAAGGTCACCTCCGTGCAGGAGAGGTACAGCCAGACAACAGCTATTAGCTAATTAGCTAGGGTCCCAAACCAGCCGGAGGTTACAATACATTAAAATGAGAAAGGCTGAGAAGCTTTGAGCAACGTAAGGCATAAGAAGCACATGGACAAGACTGCTACTGTTTAACCTCCCCGTCTGCATGACACAGACATCAACGTCACACCTGTTGGCTGCAGTCCGGTATGCAAACCATAAACAGATTTCTGAAGTCCAGCAACCAAACCATAAATAGATTTGAGAAAGTCAGTATCTAAACCATAAACAGATTTCAGAGATCTACCATCTAAACCACATTATTAAAATATACAGTGGTACTTCGGTTCCCGAACTTAATCCGTTAGGGACTCCTGATCGAATCCTAAAAAGTTTGAGTTCTGATCGAATTTTTCCTTTCAGAAATAATGGAAAACCAATTAATTGGTTCCCGGCCCCCCAAAATTACACCTAAATATGTTTTTTTTCAGCATTTAAACACAAAATGAACAGGATAAAACAAGAAGAGCATTTTTTTCTTAATGGCTTCCAAAACGATAAAGATCTTATCCCAACATTACCCCTGTCCTGCCCCGATCTTCCGCTCCTTCCGTGTGCCACGCCCCCTCGTTAACCTCGTGTGGGATCCCCATGTGATCAGTTGTTTCTGGTTGTTGTCATTAGTCCTCTGTATTAATTCCGCGTTTCAGTTTGTTTCCCCAGTCAGGTCATTAGGTGCGTTCGTCTTGCTTACAGCGCTGGCTTAAAGCAACGCATTCTGATCCTGACGCAATGCATTACGGTTAGATGCATTGCGACCTCTCACCCGGCTGTACAAACTGGAACTGCCTCCGTGACGACACACCTTTGCCCTTATTGGCTGAAGAGTTTAAATTACACGCATGACGTTTATATCCCAGGCAGTTCCGATGCGTAATCTGCTATTTCTCCCGAATATCACGTAAAGCAGTGAGAACTGGTTTTCAGTTAATTTACCTGGTAAAATAAAGTTTAAATAAATGACATAAATGCTCTAATAGTACAAGTAAGTTAGTGGTTTATTTATTATTAGTTACTGTAATGTTGCGCTGCTTTATTTGGTTAATCATCCAGTCTGTGATGAAGGCATTCAAGTAAGAATTGCATAGTAGTATGACTCATTTCCTGGCGCGTACAATTTATATTAGGTCAGCGTTCACGGTTCGACTTCTGATATTCAGATCGAGTTGTAGTTGTAGGTGTAACTGGTTTGTTCGACTTTCAAGAAATTCGAGTTCTAGTGAGTTCGAGAACCGAGGTACCACTGTACACTGATCCGCCATAAAGTTAACCCACTGACAGGTGAAGTGAATAACATTGATTATCTCATTACAATGACACCTGCTATGGGTGCCATTCTGCATTAATGAAGTGCAGAGTGAACAGTCAGCACCCTGAATTTGATGTGTTAGAAGCAGGAAAATGTGCAAGTGTAAGGATTTGAGTGACCTTAAGACGGACCAAATTGTGATTGCTAGAAGACTGGATCAGAGCATCTCCAATATGGCAGGTCTTGTAGGGTGCTTCCGGTGTGCAGTGATCAGTACCTACCAAAAGTGGTCCACGGAAGGCTAATCGGTGAACTGGCAATGGGGTCAGGGGCACCAAAGACTCATTGATGTACGTAGGGAACGAAGGCTGGCCTGTCTGGAGTAATCCCACAGGAAAACTACTGCGACACAAATTGCTGAAAAATTTAATACTGGTGTCAGAACATACAGTGCATCGCAGCTTGCTGCGTATGGGGCTATGTAGCCGCAGACGGGTCAGAGAACCCGTGCTGATCCCTGTCCACCACAGAAAGAGCCTACAGTGGACACATGGAGTGATGGTAGAATGTCACATTTTCTGTTACATCATGTGGATGGCTGGGTGCATGTTCGTTGTTTACCTGGGGAAACGATGGCACCAGGATGCACTTTGAGAAGGTGGGAAGGTGGCGGAGGCAGTCTGATGCTCTGGGCAATGTTCTGCTGGGAAGCTTTTGGTCCTGGAATTCATGTGGATGATACTTTGACTTGGTCTCCAAATCCCCAGGATTTTATCCCAATCGGGCATCTGTGAGATGTGCTGGACAAGTCTGATCCATGGAGCCCCCGCCTTGCAACTTAGAAAACTTAAAGGATCTGCTGCTAACGTCTTGGTGCCAGGCACCACAGGACACTGGTCTCGTTGAGTCCATGCATCAAAGGGACAGAGCTGTCTTTACGACATGTGGGGGACCTACACTATATTATGCAGGTGGTTTTAATGTTATGGCTGATCGGTGTATAACTAAGCTGAAAGTACCAGCAAATTAGCAGCATCTGCAAACTACACTTTGACCGGAGATAAAAACATAGACAGGGTCGGAGTCCAGCTGCGGGCGACTCGCTCTGGGGTTACGAGAGGCGTCCCCCAGCATCTTGGCATGTTTGCATGAACGACACTCTCAGCAGTGGCTCTTATTTGCCAACGGATGCCACAATCCCCCCTCCCACCTCCAAGGTCCAGGTAGCTGGAATACAAGCAGGCATGTAGCTCTGAATGCGTACGAGGGCCAGGCCATAATGTGAAACAGGAGGACCTGGCAGGGGTCGAAAGAGCCGAAATAAGCTATTACTGGGTATTACTGAGTAATAGCTTATTATGAACTTACTTTGAAAATTTTATAGCGTGTTTTATGACCTTCTATAATTTGGATGTTTTTTTCTAACTTTCACTTACTGCTTCCAAAAACGC